GAAGAGGAACATCAGAGCGAAGAAGAAAAAGAGAAAAAGGAGCAAAAAGAGAAGAGGAAAACGAGAAAGAAGAGCAAAAAGAGAACGAAGAGGAAAACGAGAAAGAAAAGCAAAAAGAGAACCAAGAGGAAAACGAGAAGGAAGAGGAAAATCAGAGCGAAGAGGAAAAAGAGAAAAAAGAGAAAGAAGAGCAAAAAGAGCAAAAAGATAGCGAAGAGGAAAACGAGAAAGACGAGGAAAAAGAGAGCGAAGAGGAAAAAGAGAAAAAAGAGCAAATAGAGAAAGAAGAAGAAAAAGAGAACGAAAAGGAATACGAGAAAGAAGAGGAAAAAGAGAGCGAAGAGGAAAAAGAGAAAAAAGAGCAAAAAGAGAGCGAAGAGGAAAACGAGAAAAAAGAGAAAGAATAGCAAAAAGAGAGAGAAGTGGAAAACGAGAATGAAGAGCAAAAAGAGAAAGAAGAGCAAAAAGATAGCGAAGTGGAAAAAGAGAAAGAAGAGGAAAAAGAGAAAGAAGAGGAAAAAGAGAAAGAAGAGGAAAAAGAGAGCGAAGTGGGAAAAGAGAAAAAAGAGCAAAAAGAGAAAGAAGCAAAAAAAAAAGAACGAAGAAAAAAACGAGAAAGATGAGGAAAAAGAGAAAAAAGAGGAAAAAGTGAAAGAATGGGAAAAAGAGAGCGAAGCGGGAAAAAAGAAAGAAGAGGAAAAAGAGAAAGTATGGAAAATAGAAGGAATAAGAAAAAAGAGAATGTATGCTATTGCTAATAATAATATTAACTGTTTCCTTATAAGGAAACATTCGAAATTGATTCACCAAACAGCCGGTGATATATTCGGTTGAAATTTTTATATTTTTTTTTTTTTTATTAAAACAATTTTTCGAGAAAATAGGCTTCCCAAATAAACAATTTTTATCGCTCTTTCCAGTATTGATTGGGCTTCTTTCCAAACGTTTGTTTCAAGTAGCGTGGAACATTTGAGGCGAACTCAGATGAAGTCCAGATTAGCTGCAGAACATACGTATATTCTTGAGTGTGCTGCTGTCGAATCTTGCCAAAATATAAATTTGCGACCCGGAACGTTTTTCAAATATCTCCTCCCCCAACCAAAAAAGAAATACTCCTTTCCGAAGCCAACACAGATAACTATCAAAAAAAAATTTAAATTAAAAGAAATCGGTTAAATTAAAAAATATAATGCATAAATTAATTTCTGAAACTAAAATAATATAAAGAAAAATTACATTATTAAAAAAGTCAACAATAACATTTACTCACTTAGTAATTAATCCATAGCTGGGTGAAGCAGAAATGGATTCCTACCTTTTCCAAATGGTATTTGTATTTAATCGAATATACCGAACCAACTTAACAATTCCGAGTGATTATATATCACTTAACATCCTCCATAATTTACTTTGACTTCCAGTTAGACTGTACGTTCTCAAAATTTCAAAATACTGAAAAACATTTTTACTTGTCACTAAATAAAAAAGCTTAACATTTATCTTGATATATATATATATATATATATATATATATATATATATATATATATATATATATGTATATTTAGGCAGCAATTTTTCATTGATGCATGTTTCATTAATTAATATAGACAAGTTTTGTCTATTTATTTTAAGTAAGTTCCTTTCATATTATCTGATAAGCTTAATAACATTATCGTTGAAAGACGAAAAGAAATCACCATATTGATCATACATGTTTAAATACAATCTTAGCTTTCAGCTTACATAAGCCATTATCAAAAATGACAATTACTTTTCAATATATCAACCAATACACGGACGAAACAATAATGAGAATCTGCTTTTGTTGCATGAAAAATTTCAAAGCAACGACTAAATCGTGTATACGAGACGCGGAAGCGAAAATCGCGTCACACATGACCACACGAGAGTGAAAACGAGAAGTATAAAGTAAGGGAAGCCGTTGGTATAAGCCAATGGCTTCTGTTATCAATTATAGGCATTTAAGAATATTTGTGGAGATTTCTTATTTTAGATTGGATTTAAACATGTATCAATATGGTGATATCATTTCGTCTTTCTATGATAATGTTAAGCTTATCAGACAATATAGAAGGAACTTAATTAAAATAAATAGACAAAACTTGTCTATATTATTTAATGAAACGTATATATCGATAGGCAGTATATATTCATTCTAACATGTTTCACTGGATAATATTATGTCTACTTATTTTTATAGTGATCCTTTCTAATGCAGATTTTATTTCAGTTACGTTTATTTTAGTTAGTTATTTTCAGTTATGTTTGTCGTTCCAATTTAGCCCTGAAGATGATCTTAGAAAAGGTCGAAAGTACTTAAGTTTAAAAAAAAATCCGGTATTTTCCATGATGAATGTCATCTTAACATCAAGAAACTGATTAGACAAGTGGAAAGGATGAGTATAAAATAAGTAAGAAATAATGTGTCTCACCTATATGTATATATATATATATATATATATATATATATATATATATATATATATATATATATATATATTCAGGCCTGAAGATTGCGTTTAAGCATGAAACGGTCTAAAGCCGCTAGGTGTTAAACTCATGTCCACTTTTATATTGAAAACTTTAACCCATCAATATAGCATACCTTAAATATATATATATATATATATATATATATATATATATATATATATGTATGAATGAAGAAATATAGTTTTATGGTGTGGTATATTTATGAGAAAAGTGCTCAATATCAGAGATAGAGCGTGTATGCAAATATAAATATAAAAGTGAACATTGAAGTCAACACTCAGAGGCAGTGGGCTGGATGCAATCGTCAGACCTGACGATTGCATCCAGCATGAAACAGTCTTTTATATATATATATATAATAAAAGTATTAAACAAATATTCCATGGTCATAATTTATTCCATTGAATAAATACGATCCAATTCATTAAACCTTCAAATATTTGTAGGTCTGATGAATTGATCGTATTTACGATTCCAATGGAATAAATTATAACCATGGAATATTAGTGTTTAAGCCTTTTTATTATATCCTTACTCTGTCCTGACATTGAGTTCTACCTGGATTCTATCCTCTTGGAATTTTTTTTATTCAAATAATATATGTATGTGTATGCATGTATGCATATATATTTATATATTTTGCATATGTATGTGCATATTTACCACTAATATTATCTATCTATCTATATATATATATATATATATATATATATATATATATATATATATATATATATTATAACCAAGGTTCGTTATCAAGTGTTTTTGAAATCTCACATACTTATATTTTGATTGGTCGTCTCAGCTTATGTAAAAGTTTTTCCCCTAGCGAGGGGTGTTTGATTGATTTGAACCTTTTAACACCCTTTTATTCTACATTCAACACCATCACTTGATAAGACAATTGAAGTATTGAAACAAAATGGCTATTTTTGTAGTGATTTTATATCATATTTATATTATAATTTTGAATAAATAATATATATATATATATATATATATATATATATATATATATAAAGAGAGTGAGAGTTATTCCCCGCTTGATGATTCTTGTTAATAGTGAAACTTAAGTGGAGGAGGTCATATTTTTTTAATATATTATCTACTTTTTTATTGGATACTTTTTATTGTATAATTTTGAATAGAATTTATTCAACGACAATATGTACGTGTATGACTCTTCAGTCCAGCCTGAGTGTTGTATGATTGTTTCCTCGTGTGAAACATGAGCAGTCCATCTTTCAAGGACACTAAAATACATCTTTTTTATATTTTAGAGCTTTTCGTGAAACCACCAAATGTCGACATACTAAGTCATCTCTAAGACAGTTATGTTTGTCCATGAACGACTTTTGAAGAGGTATACCTACACAAAAAGACTTGATCAATATAAGAAAAATATTTTGAAGACAACACGTTTCGTTTCCTTTTGATAGACGTCCTCAGGTCAGAATCAGTGACAATCCCTGTGTAAAGAAAATTCGTTGGAATTTTTGATTGATTAGAATTGAAATCTTCACAGTATTTAGTATTGTTGAAGTTATCGCTAACATAATTTTGTCGAGATTTATACACTTTACGTTTCGTTCAATTTCACATACCAATCGATGAAATTTGGATAAGCTGATTTGTTTGGAAAAATACTTTGACAAAAAACCCTACATAGTAATTTAATAATTTCTTCATGGTAATCAATATTTTTTAATATAATTTATTTTATTTTATTTTTTAACAGCGAAGAATAAATTCTTAGGATTTCTTACTCTTTAGTATGCAACATACAACTGACCATGCGTAAATATTTCTTTCTAGAGCCAAATTCCAACTTAGTGAAGCCTTTGGTCCTTACGATTTTTTATAATTCTTGCAAGCGCAGAGCGAAATTGAAACTAGGTTCTTGTGTATAAAAACTTAATGAAAAGATATGCAAAAACAATATTTTGCATGTTAAATAATAAAATTTTTAATTTTAAGAAAACTGTACTTTGTACTCCCTTGCGTGTTTTCACTTCACAAAATTTCAATCGGTCAATGTATTTTAGAGGGTGTGACTAAGTCACAGAATTTTATATATAGATTGACTGACTGATTCGTTTTCTACGGTTTATCAACCTTGTGCAGGTTATTTAAAGCCAGAAAATACTTTTAGATTGTAAGATTTTTTGTAGACAATAATGATTTAGTGATATAAGTCTTACTAATTAACCCATAGCTGGGGAAATGAGGTGGTTTCATGCCTTTCCAAATGGTATTTGCGCATCAGTGACTATAATAAACCCAGGTGAAATTGGAACTCAGAGCTCCGATTAACAATCCCGAGCGACTATCCATTACACCAACCGCGCCTGCAGAACCTTACAGAATCTGCTATTCCCAAGCGGTCACCCATCTAGTCTCGACATTGCTTAACTCCTGTGATCGTATGAGAACAAGTGTTTCAACTTGACGTCGCTGTATGCCATAGCACCTGCACATCCAAGCTTGCAGCACATGGTATTCCCAAGCGATCACCCATCCAGGTAAGGACCTGGCTCGACGTTGCTTAACTTCGGTGATCGTATGAGAACAAGTGTTTCAACTTGACGAAGCTGTATGGCATACCACCCGCACATCCAAGCTTACAGCACCTGGTATTCTGAAGTGGTCACCCATATAGCTACTGACCTGTTTTGACATTGCTTAACTTCGGTGGCCGTACGAGAACAAGTGTTTCAACATGACTTCGCTGTATGCCATAACACCCGCACATCCAAGCTTACAGCACGCGGTATTCCCAAGCGGTCACCCAACTAGGTACTGACCTGTCTCGACGGTGCTCGTACGAGAACAAATGTTTCAACATGATATGGTCGTAAGCTAGGAAAATTTGAGTAACGTATAATAAATATCATAATAGTATTTTAAAGAATGAGCCACCTTGAGAACACACGTCTATCGAATAAATTATTATTGTCTTGTTATCAAACGGCGAATAAATATACAATTCGACATGAACTTGATCGTCAAAAATGATAGTTACCGACTTCTGTATATGATAAATTAATGAATTCGGCGTAACAGAAGAGATCGATGCTAATTATTCAATTGAATATTTAACGATTCTTTTTCGTTTACGCCGTTATGATTTAACATTTCGTGATGTACTGCTTATCAAATTTTAATTCATTTTTAAGTATTTGAATAATTCTTTGGAATTTCAAATTAAAATTTTTCATGTTTTCCTTTCTACAAATCAAATGTTTGAAATAGAAATAATTGGATAAAATCGCCAAAAGGAAAATAATTCTGAAGTTTATACTGTATTTATTAAAATTTATTTGTAAACTGGAATAGGACGTTTTCAAACGAATAAATCATTTTGTACAATGATATATGAATTGAATGGTACGTGTTGTAACCTAGGAAAGGTTACTGAATAGAATAATCACACGATGGTTGGTAATGAACGATAATACTTAGGACAAGAACAACACATATAAGATTTGCCAGCAACGCGTATAAGTGAGTCAAGTGTATTCCACGATGAATCACCAACTGCAGGATATCTACCAACCACTCCACGCAGTCAGATGTTGCACAAGACCGAATTTAATGTGGAGTATCCGAACCCGTAGACCCGGCCAAAAATTCCCTCTATAAAACGGGTCAAGGTAGCTGTTTCCCCAGACGAGACTCTGCCCTTCGATATAGCCTCGTATGGGGATCCTCTTTGCCCGGAGACAGATTTTTGACCAGCACAGCTGAAGACGAATCTCCAACTGCCGACCAACATACAGTATTTACTACTGTATTTATGTGAATGGGGACATACCGATTATCATCCGTAGGTATACTACAACAGTACGGTTTCAAATCTCGATACATACAAGTACCAACAGCTAACTAGATCGTTGGATTGTATATTAATAATAACAATAATAATAATAATAAATAGAAACCTCAAAAATGTGGCACATGAGGAAATCAATCATTCTAGTTGTAGTTGGAGCCCTCGGATTGATTGTAAAAAATTCCAATAGACTCAATGAAGGAATCCCTGATAGCCCATGCCTTAAAGAAATACAAAAAATTTTGCTCACAAGTACAGCCCACACCTTACGAAGGGCTTTATCTATGTAAAATATGTGTAATTTTATTTTTCAAAACTGCTCTATGGAGAGCCGAGTTCAAATTCCAGTCGGACAGGTTAATGCTAATACCCTTGGGAAAGGTATGAATCCTCCTCTTCTCCCCCTCCTCCCCCGCTAAAACAAGCTATGGGTAAAGAGCAGGACATATGGCAACTGGTCTACCGCAGAAAGAAATGGCAACCTACCGCGGGAAAAATCTGCCTCGTCAGTCATGATCGCCTAAGCGTGTATCATGCATGGCACATAACTGAGTGACTGTATTCCTATCACACTTGTAGGCAAATTGTATCCCTAAAGGCTTTTAAACAAATTGTACTTCTAACACACGTGCAGGTAAATTGTATCGCTAAAACACTCTGAGTCAAATTGTATCTCTAACACATTTGTAGGCAAATTGTATTCTTAAACACTTGAGGGCAAATTATATCCTCTACACACTTGTAAGTAAATTGTATCCATCTCTTGTAAGAAAATTCTATCCTTAGGCAAATTTTATACCTAACACACTTACAGGCAAAACTGTATCTTTAGCACTCTTGTAAGCAAATTCTATCCATAACACTGCTGTAGGCAAATTTTATACCTAACACACTTACAGGCAAGACTGTATCTTTAACCCTCTTGTAAGCAAAATCTATCCATAACACTGTTGTAGGCAAATTTTATACCTAACACACTTACAGGCAAGACTGTATCTTTAACACTGTTGTAAGAAAATTCTATCCATAACACAGTTGTAGGCAAATTATATACCTAACACACTTACAGGCAAGACTGTCTCTTTAACACTCTTGTTAGCAAATTCTATCCATAACACTATTGTAGGCAAATTATATACCTAACACACTTGCAGGCAAAACTGTATCTTTAGCAATCTTGTAAGCAAATTCTATCCATAACACTGTTGTAAGCAAGTTGTATTCCTAACACAGTTGTAGCATTGGGTGACAGCCGGTGTAAGAGAAGGAACTCAAACCGGCCTGGTGAGGTTTGTGCTCCGTCAGGTTATCTTGCCGAAGAAACATCACTTCTACTGCGGCTGTGGTACATGTGGTAACGCTTACGGCCCTGGTGGGTCAAGGGATTGGCGACCGTGATGTTTAGAAAGTGATTCAAAGACATCCAGGTTTTACCAGAAAAAAATAGTTTAAAAGACTGTTTCCAACATCCTTCTCCGTCTCTGGACGTTCTGCCACTTAGGAAATGTTTAATGATCCAAATATATGAAAATATATACAGATATATACAGATGCTTATATCTGAGGAATATACCATATGAAGGATATGAAAGAAATATGATTTTTTTGCCTGGGGTGAAGATATTGAGCTGCACAGTGTGCCCTAACATTTTCAGGGCTCACGGTCATATCACATTTAAACGCCGGTTTTCGTACGATCACTGAAGTTAAGCAATGTCGAGCCTGGTCAGTACCTAAATGGCTGACCGCTTGGGAATACCAAGTGCTGCAAGCTTGGTGGTGTAACGGCTAACGGTTCGGAATTGAAAATAGGAAAACTGAGTTTCAATGCCAGTCTATATTCACTGACGCGCAAATAACATTAGGAAAGTTATGAATCCACCCTTTTCTCCTGCTATGGGTTAATCAGCAGGACGTGTATCGATAAATCATTATTATTTCCCTCCCTTATCCCGCCAAAAAGACTTCTTATAATCTAAAAATATTTTCTGGCTTTAAATAACATGTAAATTTAGATAAGCCGTAAAAAAAGTAATTAATCAAATCAAACTTAACATTGTGAGGCATTTCTTCTTTCTTTCTTTCTTTCTTTTTTTCTTACTTACTTATTTTTTCCATTTCCTTTTTTCCTTATATTTCCAACCAAATACTTCTTGCATTTATCCAAGATTACATATGCTGCAACTGAAACTGGAAAAAGCAAATCTGACCCCCCAAATAAGAATATTTAGGTACCCTAAATAAGGTAAGAATGCAACTATTCACATTGTTCGGATTTTTGTCCCCATCTTTGTTACCGCATTCACGACGTTTCGGCCGTTGTACGCTCCGGGCTTCTTCGGGTGATACGTCTTGGAATTTCGAACCGATCTTTTTAATTTAGTCTACGGTTGGTAGATTGTTCTAATTCCACGTACCATGCCTTTGGATATCTCAGTTTTTATTTTTTTTTAGTTAATTCTCCTTGATAACTCTCCATGTTTTTATTCTCCCTGCTGTGGCCAGGGATTGAACTCAGAACTACTTTGGGTCAAGTCACTTCTGGATCAATCAACCAACGATTTTATGCACTGGGCCATGTGGTCATAAAGCAGAAGGTAACACCCAAAACAATGTAAATAGTGTAAAAAAAAAATACGAATGTTACGATACCACCTCAGTAGAAAAACATCGACCCAGCTTCCCGGCGTTATAAAGCGTGTCCGTTATAGGCGAGGAAACACACACGCACGCACACACACACACACACACACACACACACACACGCGCGCGCACACACACGCACGCACGCACGCACACACACACACACACACGCACACACACGCACACGCACACACACGCACAAAAAAACAAACTAGGCTTTTACTTTGTGCCCATTTTATGTAAGTAACATCTTTTTTATTACCCCATAACATCCATAATTTTATGCACAGCAGGCAAAAAAAAGATAAAATTATAATATATATATATATATATATATATATATATATATATATATATATATATATAAGGTACTCAATATATATAAAATATATATAATTTATATATATTATATATTTTTCTCAGCGACAAGGTACTCAATATATATATATATATATATATATATATATATATATATATATATATATATATATATATATATACATACAAGGAACTCAATACATATATATAAATATACATATACATATATATATATATATGTGAAAATATATAGAAAAATAGTAAGGAACTGGTTAGGTAAATAAACCAAAGTCCCTTAGTATTTTAGTTATTATTTTTTAAAAATAGTGCTCGATACAAAAGTAGAGCATAAATATAATTATTTATTTAAAAATATGATTCCAAATCGCTACATAAGAGGTCTCATGTTTCAAAACAAGAGCCGAAAACTTCAATATAATCCTTTAAATTAAATTGAGTTGAAATTAAAATGGGCTCCGTTCCATATATATATATATATATTGATTCCATATATATATATATATTGATGCATGTTTCATTAAATAATATAGACAAGTTTTGTCTATTTATTTTAAGTAAGCTCCTTTCATATTGTCTGATGAGCTTAATGACATTATCATTGAAAGACGAAAGGAAGTCACCATACTGATACACGTTTAAATCCAATCAAGCTTTCGACTGAAAAGCCATTAAAAAAAATGACAATTGATTTTGGCAATATATCAAGCCGAAAAATAGATTGAAAATAAATGTTCAGAATGGTGATCTTTTCGTCTTTCAATGATATAATGTCATTAAGCTTATTCCGAATATGGATGCGAGTTGTTCGAACGTTCGCTTTCTGACCATGCGAACCGGGTTCGAATCTCATCATAGTCGATATGTTAAGCAGTTGTATACTTGAGTTTATCGGTTTTTGAGAAATTTTGGAAAGTTCATGAAAACCATACTACAGGTTAACCCAAGCCGATATTGATCCAGTGGAGTTAATTGCAGTTAATTGCAATGGAGTTAATGCTAGTTCGAACAGCCATCCGGCAGACTACCCAAGTAGTCTGCCGGATGGCTGTTCGAACTAGCAGACGACTCTGGTGGAGTGATCATCACGCCGAACCAGCGATCACGACAACGTTACCCTGCGCAACCGCTTCCCATGGATGAATCTTAACCCCAGCATAGATAAATCTTATGTCATGAATACATTCATAAAATTGGGACAATCAATTTATAAGTCGATGACAATTTTCCAATGTCTGTTATCCGAATACTTTCACTTGATGCTTCAATCCAAATGAATGTTTTCGTTTCTTTACGTGTTATTTTCATTTTGCTTTCTCTCTTTTCTCTCTCAACGATCCCTGTGTCTTCTCCCTCTTTATATTCTTGTTTTTAATGTCTCGCCTTTGTCATCTCCATTTTTACTCTTCGATTCGACCTCAATGAAGTGAAAGAATGTTGGTTACGAAACGGAGACTCCAGAAGCACAGACTCTTTAAAGGAACGGAAAGCGCATAGTGCGACGGAGACGCCCTATGAACAGAATATTTGAAGTGAACGGATGCGCATTGTACGAAAAAGATGCCAGAAGCGCATTGTCGGTGAAAAGTACGTAAAGCGCATAGTCCAACGGAGACTCCAGAATTGTAGATTCCTTGAAGGGAACGGAAAGCGTGTAGTGAGGCAGTGACTCCAGAAACGCAGATAACTTGTATAGAACGGAAAGCGTATAGTGAGACGGACACTCCAGAAGCACAGTGACAGTGAAAGGTATGGAAAGATCATAGTGTGACAGAGACTTCTGTAGCACAGATTTGCTTGAAGTGAAGAGAAAGCGCATATTGGGACGGAGTCACCAGAAGTACAGTGTCGGTGAAAGAAACGTAAAGCGCAATTGCGAAGGAGGCTCCTGAAGCGCTGACTCCATGAAGGGAACGGAAAGCGCATAGTAGTACAGAGACTTCAGAGGCACAGTTTCGGTGAAGAGAACGGAAAGTTTATCCTTGGACGAAGACTCCTGAATCCCGTCCTCAGTGAAGAGGACGGAAATTTCGTCCCGGAGCGGAGACTCTGTTAGGGGACCTTACCCATAATAACATAATGGACTATTCCATACGTAATAAATACTGCGCCTCAAGAGGAAGCAGAGAGTTCAGTCCGAAGTCGGGTGACCGGCTGACCAGCTGATCGGTTCAACTCTCTGCTTTCGGGCGGGGAGGAACCCGAACGAGGCTACGCCGAAGGGCGGAGTCTCTTTCGGGGAGGTAAACCGACCCTGAACCCGATTATACGGGTTCAAAGGGCATATTTTTGGCCCGAGCCCACGAGCTCGGAGATCCTACGTTAAACCGGCCTTGTGCCACATGATACCCTCGTGGGGTGTGGGTGACTAAATACTGTTCAGTCTGAAGTCTGGAGTGAAGTCTGAAGTCTGGAGTGAAGTCCGTCAGGAGTATGTCAGTCAGTCAGAGCGAGTCAGTCAGTCGAGTCAGAGGCAGTCCGAAACAGAGTTGCGTTCAGACAATTACTACTAAACCTGATTGTTCGTACTAACACTTTCTACTCGTCTGTATATATTCCTGTTTGTAATTTATCTGTGTTATTCCATATACGTGTTCGAGTTCTTCTTTATTGGTTCTACTTTGGGCTATCAACGTGGTACAAGGAACCGGACCATAACAGACTTCAAAGGCAAATATCCAGTGAAGAGATATGTAAGTTCGTCCAGAGGTAGAAATTCCCGAAGTCCATCCTCAGTGAAGCGAAAGTCAAGCAAAGTCTAGGACGGAGACTCCAGAGTCACAGCCACAATCAATATAATGAAAATCACAACCTATGATGCAACCTGAAGGTAAATAGCCTTAAGTATAATTCCTTGAATTGCGGGTCCGCTATGTAAATCGTCCTGGTTTTTTTTTTTAAATTCAGATTTTTAAGGCGGCACGAAATTATTATTTTATTCTTGGTTTGTTTTTTCTTTTGTTTTCTTTTTTTTAATACTGACGATTTTTCTATCATTCTATCACAATTTTTTTTCCTTTCTTTCTTTTCTTCATCGTCTTTTTCTTGTTTACTGCATCCACTAACTTTCAGTAGAAATAATAGAAATTGTGGTGCCATTGTTCTGTATTCACATAAATAAACACCAAATTTGTTTTGCCCTTTGACCTGAAGGAAATTCGGATGAGAAGAAATTTAAATTTTTCAAAAACTGAAAAGAAAAAAATAACCAAACACGTATGTCGTAAATTATTCTTTACAAAAGAATTTAGCTTTAAGTGTAAATAAAAAGATGCTAAATAAAGGGATATTTTTGAAATTTTCTATCAGAATGTATTTGCTTTGTCGGCCCATACTTTATGCGATGCCATTCTGAATTGATCAGGTTTTAGCACCATGAAGGCTGTGATGCAAACTTTATATTCATAGATTTGATTAAAAAACAGAAAAGAGGTTTTCATTCGTTTTATTTTTTTTCTTCAGTTTCAATTCAAACTCATTGAAACACAATTCACTGAAATGCCAGTCTTTAAGTATTGGCATTTCTTTTTAAATTTTTTTTTATATGGCTCCATGGAACCGTATCAGAATAGCAGAAGATCACATTCTGTTCCGTTTTTAACTAATTCTTTGTACAAGACAAAAATTGCATGAAGCAAAAATTTTACAGTCGAAAAAATAATAATTTCTTCTTTGAATAAGAAAAAAAAGCTAATGTAAGATTTTTTACTGTATTTAAATAGAACCGTTAACTGCAATTAACTCCATTTAAATAAAATCTCCAAGATATCTCTCTCAGATATTTATTTACATT